ATTTTACAACAGCTGTCTAAATCGGAATTTTGGTTATTTAGTGATGTTGGTTCAGAATTTATGCACATGATTTTATGTGCTCCCCACAACATCAGCAAGCACTACACTACATGTCTGCCAAATGTAACAGTGAAGAAATCACAGCTGCAGCCTACTAACCTTGAAGAATCAGATAATGGTTTTGAGTCCTTGAAAATCTGACCCTCAGCTCTGGGTGGTTCCACTTACTCAAGGACGTGTGCTGCTTTTTCATCTGGGGCTCCCAAGCTCTAATGTAACCCCTGGAAAACATTCTCCACCTCCTGCTAAGCCCTAGGTGACAAGAGTTAGGGATTAAAATTTCTCATCCTCAAGTGGCACTGCAAGATAAGGAGCACATCAGAAACAGGCATTGAGACAAAACAGCAAGTGACCCTGCAAGGCCCACAGCACACCCAAGAACACACAGCACAAATATTTGCTTTAATACGTTAATTAAGCCAACTGCAGCATAGAAAACCACCTGAATTATCTCTTTTATGAAATGGATTGGTTTTGGACAAAACAGAGACATCCAGTGTTCCTGCACACCAGCAGCAGGGATTGTCTGTTCCAGAAAGGCACTGAGGTCACACATCTCAGGCACAGCATCACTACTTCTACAGCAAGGCCACCTCACCTTGGGTGTTTTTACAATCTGAGTACCTTGCTAAGTGATAGAATACCCTTTGCATCAGCCCATCAGTCGTATACACATGAAACCTGCCACAAAAAGCAGGAATTTTACGGTGCAGGAATTACCACTGCAGTAGGAACACTCCTCACCACACATCACCCTGCGCACTGACTTTCTATTAAATGTATAATTAGAATACCAGGCTAAAGCACCCCTGACACAAAGAACGAGGTTCATTCCTGCTCAAAACAGCTGCAAACTCCAAGCATTTCACAGCTATTGTGATCCATCCTACTACAGTATGTGCACTTCCAGTAGGTGACGGGCAGAGGCAGAGAAATGAAGAAGAGCCAAACCGAAATGCAGATGGGAGTCTGTTTTTTGCTTGTTGTTGGGTTTGTTTCTGGGGGTTTTTATTTCCTTCAAAATGGTGTTAGCAAACAAAATACCATGCTCTAATTACCAGTGTCAGCACACAGAACACCACCTACCCACGCCAGGCTTGCCTCCAGAACGCACACCCCTGGTGTTCCACTGCCTCTCTACTCCAGACTGAGAGCTGAGCAAATCTGTAGCAGTAGCAAAAATGCAAATAAGTTTATAAGCATTCATGCCTGTGTTTGAAGATACTGGGAACAACAGATGTGGGCAACACATACAAGCCAAAGAAAAGAAAAGCAGTATCAGCTTTTTGCCAGTCACTCAAACCAGCTTGTCTCAAAAAACCCAGCTGACTGCATTTATACTTTATTTTCAAATTATTTTTCGCCTCATATACACACATGGACGTGTTAAGCACAGAAACTTATATATACAGATGTACCTGTCATGTCAGCCACCCACCAGTGATATTTTTAAAACCATTTCCTACAATCCTCCTCCTGATGAAAGGTAAAACACACAGAAATAAAAAACCATTGCTTCCACATGCAATTGTCATTGCTCCGTGGTAATTCTTCCTGCATCTGGAAACAGCTTAGAAGTTAAACCTTTTTTTACCTTTCATTATAGACACAAATTCCTTGGTGTGCTCTATTACTCAACTGAACAGTATATAAGCCTTTCAGCACTAAAATATTTCTCAACACCAGGACACACAGCCATGACCATGAACATTCCTCTTAAGGGACATAACAGCAACAAAAAAAAAGTATACATCCTGAGTTTTTATTTAAATATCTGAATATTGCTATGTAGATCGATGAGTTGTTTAAATTTATGATCTATTTTTTTTATTTTGTCCACCCAGCCCATTCCTGCAGACAACACCAAACAAATTGTCCTAACTCCTCAGAGCTGCTTTTCCATGACAAGATATTTATTAGGAGGGAAAAAAAGAACAAGGGAAACTGTAACAACACCATTTTCCAATCAATATCCCATGCCTATCACAGCTGTATCCCAGAAGACACTTCCAGGCTACTTGTACCAATCTTTTGAATTACGCCACCAAGGGTCCTACAAAATCTTTAAATGGCATTTTTCCCACCACAGCAAATTGTTCACCTGAAATAATTTCAATACAGCACATGATCAGTGAAAATTCCCTTTTGAATAGCTGAGACTGTTGGAAATCTCACTTGGAAATTAAATGTCTAGAGTAAATAAAGAGCATTTTTTTGCAAAAATCTGCAATGGGTTTCAGGTGGGAATTCAACAGAAACTATAAAAGTAGAAAAAAAATTAATAAATTGATCATAAAAGGGCATGTTTGCAAACAAAACTACACTAGAGAAAGCTAGATGACCACCTGAAAGCAGGTTGGCTATGGTGTGAAGTCTCCCTGGAGTCTCCCTGGAGCATACAGAATATTTTCAATTTGAGTTTCTAGTTCACACTGAGCATCCAGAAGTGAGTCCAAGCAGGCAAAACAACCCAGTTTTTGCCTTCTATTTCTGACACACATTAAAAAAAAAAAAAAAAAAAAAAAGTATTACTGCCTTTAAAGTCTTCAGTCATGATGACCATCAAAGGCTGTACTGGTCAGTGATTATGATTATACTAAAAACTTATTTCTCTTTACAAACATACTTCAATGTAACATCATTCAAACACTTCAAAGTGAAGCCATCCTAGGTAATAAGGCTATTTTTAGAATTGTCTTTATGCACTTAATGATTTTTTTTTTAATCCAAAACCTCGACACGTGATGGAAGGAAAACAACCCCAGTGAATTTAATTCAGTAACGGGAATAAAATGTATGAACATGCTATGAGAAAATGAGCACACAGCAAGATGCTGACTACCTGTTAGATGGTTAAATCTGCAACTGAATGAACCTTCACAGGCACTAAACAATCTAGAGAAAAATCAGAACAAATCCAGAATCGACACAGTGCCTGAAGGCCACAGGACAGAAGTCACACAAGATAACCCACCTCAAACTTACACCTGCTCGTGCAGGTAACATACCAGGTAAATTTTGGTGATTATGAATCTGAAACCACGATTTCACAGAGATCTGTCAATTTACAGTGACCAAATCTACCACTGCTAAGGAAGCTGCTCCGTAGAAAACATAAACAGCATTTTCAGTGGATTGTTGTAGGTCTCAGCTTAAAGTCCTCTGCTTCAGTAAAACACTGCCTCAATTCCATGGGATAAATGCATTTTACACATGCACATCAACCCTCAGTCTCCCACAGCAGCTGCAAAAAGTATGTCAAATGTTACCTCAAAATGTCATTTTAGAGAGGGAAAAAAAAAGCAAAGGAAAAAGCAAAACTATCCCACACTCAGCACAACGGCACAAATTTGGCGCTGAAACACAAGAGAATGACACAGACCCCAAAACCAAGCCACCACATTGGGAAGGTGCGTGGCTTATAAAACCATATTTATAAGAGAAACAGGTTCCTCATAACACTTCAGGAGTTTCACCACTGTGAAAATTCTACAGTGACACCTTCATTTTAACTGAGCTCTCACAGCATCAAAGGTTATTCCCTCAACAACAACCTCTTGTTGCTTTTGAGGGAATAACAGACAAAACAAAGCAAACACAAACAAAACAAAGCAAAACAAACAAATAAAAAAGGCTCCTGGAGGAAAAAAAAAAAAAGGAAATTCTTGGACAGGTGCAGCTACAGAAAAGATGAAAAGCTCTAAAAGGAGAAAACATAGCACAGGAGCCAAAATACAACAGAACAGTCTGGGCTCTCCCTATATAACACTAGAACTAACAGTAAGAGGGCCCTAATTAATGAATAGCCTCATTAAGGAGTTCTTTATTTTATTACAGCTTCAGTAGCCAGTGGCTCACACCCTCAGGCGAGGCAACACCCACTGGGAGCCCAGTAACAGCAAACAACCAAAAACAACCACCAAAACAACCAAAAAAAACCACCAAAACAACCAGTTGTTGTGGTTTTTTTAATGTTTTTGTTTGTTTCTGGAGTTTTGCTGTTGTTTTTAGGGGGTTTTTTTTGAGGGAGGGTTTAGTTGTTGTTTTGGTTTTGTTTTTTTGATTGGGTTTGTTTTGGGGGTTTTTGGGGTTTTTTTCCTTTGGGTTTTTTTTTAGTGGGTTTTTTTGGTTTTTTTGGGGGGTTTTGTGGTTGTTTTGGTTTTGCTTTTTTGGTTGGGTTTGTTTTGGGGTTTTTTGGGTTTTTTTTTCCTTTGGGTTTTTTTTAGTGGTTTTTTGGGGTTTTTTTTGGGGGGGTTTGTGGTTGTTTTGGTTTTGCTTTTTTGGTTGGGTTTGTTTTGGGGTTTTTGGGGGTTTTTTTTCCTTTGGGTTTTTTTTAGTGGGTTTTTTTGGTTTTTGGGGGGATTTTGGGGTTTTTTGTTGCTGTTGTTTTTGGGGTTTTTTATTTTTCTTTGGGTTTTTTTGGTGGGTTTTTTGGGGGTTTTTTTGTTGTTGTTGTTTTGGTGGGGTTTTTGGTTGGTTTTTTTTTTCTCTTGTGTTTTGGGGTTTTTTTTTTTTGAGGGTTTGTTTTTGGTTTTTGTTTGTTTTGGGGGGGGGTTTGGCCTTTTTGTATTCGTTTTTGTTTTTTGTTTTTTTTTTTTTTCCCTCCCAGCGTCTCACTACAGACGCGTGGCCCCCATGGCTCGGTGTAGGGTTGATCCCGGTTATCCCGGTTATCCCGGTTATCCCCACACCGAGACACACTCAAGAATCCCCCTGCTCCCCTCAGTGCCGGTGAGGGGTCAGTGAGGGGCTGATCCCCGTTATCCCGGTTATCCCCACACCGGGACACACTGGAGGTTCCCCCTGCTCCCCTGAGGGCTGATCCCGATTATCCAGGTTATCCCCACACAGACAATTAGAGGAACACAGCCCCTCTTCCCCCCGCACCCCGCACTCCCCTCAGAACTGCCCGCGCGCGCGGGGCGGGACACCCGACCTACCTCCCGCGCCGCCACTTCCGCCTGCTCCCCGCCAGCCAATCACCGCCGCGTCCGCCCGTATATCCCGCCCCTCCGCCGGCAGCGCCGACCAATCGCAGCGCCGCGCGGCGCCGCCAGCCAATAGCGGCCGTGCCCGCGCCCCGGCGCGCTGAGGGCGCGCACTGCGCGCTTCCGCCCGTGGCGGCGGCCGGAAGGTGATGTGGCGGAGCGCGGCGCGATGGTAAGAACGGGCCCGCCCGGCCCTGCCCGCTCCGGGCCGGGCCCTTTCTGCTCCCCGGCCTCTCCCGGTGCCCAGCGGCGCCTCCCGGCACGGCGCCGTCCCCTCAGGTCGCTTACGCCATGAGCCGCGGCCCGCGGGAGCGAAGCCGCCTCAGGGCTTTGCTGGGAGTCGCGCGGGGCGGATTTGCCTCAGGGGTTTGGTGACAGGGGAAAAAAAACCCGGTCTGCGTCTGTGCGGGGCATCAGCGGCCCGTGCGAGGTCGGTCAGGTGATGGGCGTATCTCTCGCGGCCTCCTGACGTCATTTAGTGTACTGCGTGACGTCATGGTGGCGTTATGTGACGTCATTCCGTAGAGCAGTACGCTGAGTTGCGTCATTGGCTGCTTTTCAGGGGTCATCAGAGGTCATCGGAGGCCCAGGTCCCCTTACTCACAAAAACTGTGGATTATGTATAAAAATACTTTTTTTAAACATATATTTATTTATACATTTATATATATTTACTTTTTATATAATTTTATATTTTCATATATTTATATATTTTGTATATTTATATATAAATTATATATTTATTTTATATATATATGAATGTATATGTATAGCATTTTTCATATATGTATGTATACATATATATATGTATATATGTATGTATATATGTATTTGTATATATATATACACACATATACATGGCCTTTATATTTATAAAAAATTATATGTTTGCAACGTATATATATACACAGCAGATATATATATATATGGCACATACAATTCTTAAGAGTATAGACATACATGCAGTATAACTGAACATATAAATGCATATTCTTAAATTTATTCATAGTTATATGAATAGCTAAGAGGTGTAAATACATAAAAAACAGGTAGGTACATCTGGAAGAGAGTATCTATACTTATGTACGAGTTTATTCTGTGTGTAACAAATACATGTGGATACAGAGATACTTATCTATGTATTTATGGGGGTATGTAAATGTATAATTGAATATTTTAATAGTTGTGTATTATATGTTATATAATGCACATATATAAACAATATACCTTTTTCTATAATCCAGCCACATAAACACTGTGGGGTTTTAATATTTTTTTAATATATATGTATGTCTATATGTGTATGTGTATATATAATATATGTGTATAAATACATACATTTTTTATGTAGAGTTGATCTAGAGGCAAATTGGTATTTTTTTTTTGTTGTTTCCTCCCCATTTTCCCATTCTCAAAATAAGGGTTTACATTCCTGTCACACTGAAATATTTTTTTTAGTCAAGGTTTGTACATTAAATATTTATTTATCAACAACATTTATATGAGCAGAGCTGATACACGAATTTAAAATTAAAAGGAATATCTGAGTTAATTTAGGTTTTTTTCCTGTACAACGTACATGTTTATCCATAACTTCAGCACAGAATATGTTTTAAAATGGGAAGGGGCTTTGGTGTTGTTCAGTGTAATGATTAAATGCAACTAATTACTTAATATTATATTCTTATGTCATTTATATTTTATATATTTTCTTAGTGATATATAAGAAATATATAAGAAATAACATAAAAACAAAGGTAATGTTTAAATCTAAGAAGATTATGGTAAGTGGATGAGATTCTGCTAAGATTATCTCCTCCACTTGTCTCTTTTCCTTGCTAGAGGTTACTCTGTGTGCCTCAAGGACCCTGAAGCAAGAAACTCTTGTAAGGATGGTTTGCTTATGATTTAATGGTGAAAATAAGTTCCTTCAGCATTATTATGATGCTTGAATTTCTTCAAGAGAGCAGCAATCCTCCAGGACTTTGTGTTGTCCGTGATGCCACCTCTAGTGTCAAGGCATTTCAGGGGAAAAAAAGGATAATTTTTGACCTCACATTTGACTGTGAGAGAGGAAACAGCTGCTGTCTGTGTGTCATGAAATTAAAGAGGTTAGAGCTACATCTCCAATTTATTCTCTTGTCCAAAGAGTAAGAGCTGCAGTTCTGGCATGCTAGCAGCACTCTGGATATTCTATATTCTATAATATTCTGAAGCATGATTTCCAAAGGACTTTATGCCTTGGAAACTTTTCATTCCATTGCTTTCCAAGCTTCTTTACCACGTCCTTCCTTACTGAGCAGATGAGAACTTGAGCTGGGTGAAGGGCCAGTTGCTGCCAAACAGGAAAAAAAAATATATATATGTGTAAGCTTAATTTCACCTGTCTTTTCTTCTATGTGAAAGCAGAAATTGTGGGAATTTTTTTTTTCCTCTTCACTGCCAGTGGATAGGGAAAAAGCTCACCATTTTGACTTAAAGCAAAACCCTCACTATTTTAACTTAAAGCAGCTGTGGAAAACAGTAGAAGCATCTCAGTGGATTCCAAACCTGCTGGAAATGGAAGGGATGCACCAGGGATGCAGAGCTCCCTCATTTATTGAGGAGCAGAACCTGTATTGTTTGCTGGCTTCCACAAATCAGTTTGCCCTGCCAGCTTTCAGGATTTTACACCTAAAACCTCAACAGAAGTTTTTGTGGTGGGCTTGAAAGGTTTTCCATATGCATGGATGGAAAAAGGGAAGAAGCCAAAGGTGATATTAAAGTTGATGAGGAGCTTCTCACCTCCTGAAGGGTGGTCTTCACTTGCCTTCATAGCAGAAATTTGAAGTTACACTCAGAATTTGATGGTGAAGAAAATTCAAAAGAAGTACAGAAAACTTGACAAAAACTGCTTCTTCTCTGTCACCCTCTGGTTGGGGTTGATCCTGGCCCCACATTACTACCTAAAAATTGGTTTGGGAACTTTCCACGAGGACAAACATTTCGGTCACAGTCTTTATTGCCCTCTTAGTGTGGTGTTTATAGAAGGAATGGGAGTTGCTCATAGAGCCAATTGTAAAAACATTCATTAGTAAATATTATTTCAAACCAAGCTGACGGATATAAACATACCAGAACCCAATCAGGGCTCTGAAAAAGGAGCTTTCAGGACTCTTCAAGTACAAAGTTGTGTGTTTGTCTTATTCAGAATTGCAAGAATGAATCAATCCTCATTCAGATTTGCTAGCAGCTTTGTTTTTATCATGACCTAAAGGTACATAGGTTTAAAAATGTCTTCTAGGTCTCACTGCAGTCTTAAACTGTCTTTGTATTGTGAATTTATTTCACCTGAAGTGTTTAGTGTAGATACTTCTGTCATCTTGGAGGATGATGTGAAAGTGCATTGTCAGTGTTTTTATTTCTGTGATTATTGAACCGAGGAAATTATTCTGTCATGATAAGATGGTCTCTTTTTGGAAGAGCAGGATGCAGTGAGTCTGGTTTAACAGATTTACCCAGAATGACACTGGTTGTGAGAAATCATTTCTTTGCTGAGTGCCATAAAAAAGTAAATGTCACAATTTAGTTTTTTGGTTGCCTGCAGCATTAGACACCACATTCATTTTAAGAGCTGCAACACTGAATATGTTTTTCTGCTAATGCACAGATCCAGGCATTCAAATTCAACAAAAGTTTTTGATTTTCAACCTGGTGACTGTGGAAACAAGGTGGGAACAGCTGTGAAAAATATTACCTGTCTTCCAGATGCTAAATATTTAAACCATGCATATGAACCTCTGCCAAGCAAGAGACTTGCAGAGGTGCTGTGGACCTGCCCAGGGCCAAGGGACGTGACAGATTTAGCAGAACTTGTTGTTTCTTAACTATTTTTTTTCTTTGTTATTTGTTCTTCATGTTTGAAAGAGATGGTTTGACTGTGAGTGGGAAAAAAAAAATTTTTGGTAAATAGTACACATAAAATATTTATAGTTCTGTTTTGTAGCTTGTAGGTAAATTAGAATATATCTTCTTTTTGAGTAGTTAAGAGTTTTTCCCAAAACTGTGCAAATTCCTGTAGCATCTTCTGTTGCAAACTCCTGTTTTTTGCACGCTGCTTTTATCATTGTAAGGATATCACCTGATTCCAAGAGTGCTTTGGTATGACCCTTTCCTCTTCCATTCACACACAGAGGTTTTACTGTTTTTTTCAGTTTCAGTAGTAAATTCATGGTGAATTAAACAGTGTGGTGTGCAAGTTCAGATAGGAGAGTTACTTAAAAAAAAAGGGGTTATTTAAAATATTTATATAAATATATATACTTAAAATATTGCTTTTCTCTAATGGGGGAAGACAGCAGAGGGAAAATATCTCTATAAAAATTTAGAAGTGTATAGTCTACAGAGAAGACCTGGGTGAAAAGGTATTGTAAGATTTTACTGGCATAATTCTTTGTTTAGTAAATATGTGGACATACACACCTTTGTGCTACAGTGACCCCAGCGAAAGACTTTCAATAGTCACTTTGTTTTTCAGAGTAAGATATTTTGAAATGCTGCATCTGCTAGCTGCTTGCAGCAAAAGTTCAGTTTTCAAACTAGATATTGGGGCAAAGAGGGAGGAATTCAAACAAGTGTGAAATTTCAGCATCATCGCCTGGAGGTGTCTTCACTGCTGGTCTGTGGATTCGAATAACAGTAAAAATCCTAAATGTGCTAAAGTCAAATGAGCTTTTTATAGGGGAGGGCAGCTGTGTCCATATGTTTAATTAAGTTGTTTAATTGTTTGAGGAGATTGGTTAAGTTTTAAATAGATGTATTAGTCTTCAGTTGTCTGGAAAGCATAATGTTAGTCGCACTTGCCATTTAAACTTGACAATGTGCTTCTGCAGGCAATGACTGAGAAACAAAATCCCTTTTTCCCTAATCAAGCCTTGGCTTACATTCTGTGAGTGCAAAAAATACATCTTTCAGACAGAAATCTGAATGAACATTAAATATAGTACTTAAATTCTTTGGAAACAAAATACTGAGGAGAGCATGTTGTAAATCCGAAGTAAAAAGCCTTTTTTATTCTGGAACAACTGCATCTGGCTGGTATTTGGATACTTACTAGCACCCTTTGCTTAGTTTAGTTGTGTACTTTCACCAATAATTGCTTCAAATGTCACTAATTTGCACTTTTTGTCATTTTTTTATGATGCTAATTAGCATGCCTCTTTTACAAATGCTTGTTTTCCATTTGTTTTGATCAGATTGCATTTGGCAGCAATGGGAAAAATAATTATTTTTTTAAAAGATTGGAAAATAATACAATTAGACGCATGTTTTAATTAGTTTTTAGCAATTGCTTTGACTTTCAGATTGGGAGTAGTACTATGTGATTTATAGCCTATTATTTTTCTCAATATTATATTCTGAAAAATTTAATTTCACTGATGAAATAAGAGTTGCAGGGCCTAATGGAAACCCTAGATAATAAGCATTTTCTCTTTCAGCTTTGTAAGGACCTCTTCTTTAAAATTTCATAGCTTGATTTAACTTTTCTGTGATAAAATTTTTATCAGCTCTTGCTTAACTAAAGTTTAACTGCAGTATGCATGGTTTTGCTTTTATTCCAGTATGAGAAAGGCAGCTGAATGATTTGGCATCAATATTTGGCTCCAGAAAACATAATCATTCATCAATTTTATTATACTGGGGAGGAAAAAAAATAAAACCATTCCAGAAAGACTGAATATTCTGCAGTATTACACAAAGATTATACTTTCTTTAAAATATTCCAGTTATTTATCTGTGTTTGCCCACATAAATTGGTTGTTAGAATAGTAACCACAGGGCAAAGTTTTGCAACTTGGTGGCACTTCGATGGCTTCTGCTTTTATAGCACAGATGGATGAAATCATCATGGTCACGCTGCAATCAGAGATAAAATAATCATTTTGTAAATACTTAAAGTCTAGGGAAGGTTAAGCTTTGGTTTCAGTGCTAAGTCTGCAGAGATAAACTCAGAGATCTTTTGTGTTAGGCTTTTTACCAGCCCAAAAGGACAACAGCATAGAGTTTGTGTTGCCTCCTGCACGTTTCGTTTCCCCTGGAACCGTGATACTGGGTTGGTTTATTTTAAACAAAAGTCTGTGAGGCAAGGGGAGCATCAGCAGGTCCTTTGTGACTTGCATCAAAACCTGGGGTGCGATTTATTACTGGGGGTTGCATCAGTAGGTGGTTTGTGAGTGTGGTGCTCTCTGCAAGGACAGGGAGCAACGTGTCTGAAGCAGAGAATATTGGGGAAAAGGAGTGAGTGACAACTGCAGAAATGGATAAGTTACAGTGTCTTGTCTGTGGGTGTTGTCAGTGCAGGGAAGTGCTTAGAATTAGTGCATTAAATACAGCTATTTCTGCATATTGAATTAAAAACTCCTGTGAAGGGCAAGACCTGTTGGTAACCACAACTCTGAGCTGCTGCTTTTTTTCTTCTTCTGCCCAAGTGTAGTAAATTTAATGCTGAGGGACAATGTTGTCTGTGATGAGGTTTACAGGAGCTGTGCAATCGTTGTCATGATTCCCTGTCACAGCCAGATAAGTAACTTTTAATTTTCCATCAACACTTAAGTGCATTGAACTTCAGTTTATACTCAGAGTACATTCAGACATCACTAACTGTACCACTTGATTTCCAACTACTGTATATTCCCATGAGTATTTATTTTAATACAAGCCACTGCTTAAGCCCAAGACAATAAAACTTTCAGGAGTATTAATTCTTTATGGTTTATTATATGGAGTTTTTACTGAGATACATTATGATCAGGAAATAATATTGAGTCTTTTTTTAAAGGCCTGGTTTTGGGAAGGATTTAAAACAGCCTTTGGGCATGTAGCTCTCAAAGCTGAAGTCTATAGCCTTAAATTTCCAAAGACGTTGGAAAAAACTTGTCTCATGCAAGTTGAGGTGAATACAATACCTCGTTAGTGCTGCAGGTGATGTGATGGTGCTCCACACAGGAAGGGGCACGGGGGAGAATGAGACAGAATGGAGCAATTGAGGTGTTCCCACTATGTCAGAAATGCACCAAATGCAGATGTAGAAAATTTCAGCCAATGGAATTAAAGCTTGCACTGTCTAAAAGCAGAATAAAATGCCAGTTCTCGTTTTTTTCTGGCTTTGCAGCACAAATCTTAGGAAGTTAGTTGTCATTTCACCCTCATGGGGACACATTCTAAGAGACAGCACCAGTTTCTCCATGTGCTGAGATCTCTTTGTAGTGGGAATGAGGCTCACAGGACCTACCATAAGCCAGTCAACACAAGTGAAAAATTAAAACTAATACATTTTCATCAGAGCAACCCAGCCTAAACAAATGAACAGCAACACATCTACCAAGTCCAAGTAGATTGTTATGTGAATGCAGTGTTTTTTAAAAGGATTATGAGCAATGTATAAGTCTTACAGCAGCTTTTAATTACATCGGTTGGAGCAGCCAGATGTAGGTTGCTGCTCTCTGTGAATTCAGCTGGGCCATGAGAATTACTTCAGTTGTGAAGAGTGAAGCCGCCTGATTCAGGAATAAATTCTCATTTCCAGAAATCACAAGCAAGTTTTGGAGCGCTCACATCTGCCCTTTCAAAGTGGCTGTGCAGATAAACGTGTCATTGAGAGCACGTTTGAGTCGGAGGGCAGATGGATTACAGCCACGCATATCTGGGGGAACACGTGAAGACCCCAACAAAGAGCAATTATATATGATTATATACTGCCCCAGTTGATTGACTGATAGCACATTTCATGAGTATACCCTTACAGCCCTGCTTAAGAGGAAGCAAGTGTGTCCTTCTGCCACTTTGCAGTGGTGGAGTGGGCGCTGCCGCCGCGGGAAGCAGCTGCAGGAATTGATGGGAACGCAGGGCTGCGAGCTGTCAGAGCAGCTGTCCGTCTGTCCCGCAGGACTGATCCAGTTAATCAGTTGATAGGCAGTATCTGGCTGTGCTGAGAGCAGCCGCTCCTGGATCCGGCCCCGACGCCTTCCTAGACGCGCAGGAGCCAGGGGGAATTGAGACTTCCCTGGTTGCTGGAGCTGGCAGAAACTTCTGCTGGGCACAAAGGCTCCAGAGGGTGGGGATGGCAGCGTGTTGTCCTCTCTGAAGAGTCTGCCCATTATTTATGACGTGATGGGGCAGAAAGAGTGGCTAGTTGAAATGCTAAATTAAACATGATTTAGAAAAGGCTGTGGTGCAATAGGACACCAAGCAGCCTCATGGTTGGGACAGGAGGGCTGGCTTTGGATGTGGATCACTGCTCCCTCATCACAAAAAGGATGGGTTTCAGGGATGCTGAAATCTCTCCTATACAGGGTGCAGAGTCAGAGCATCTCTGATGGTGCTTCTTAACAGAGTGGCCTATTCAACCCCATTAAGTTAAATACTGAAACGAGTTTATATAGCTAACCCTGCCTAAAGCTTGTATTCAGACTGGCAGCTCTGTGCATATTCTGGAGTTCATACAATTCATGAAGACTTCTAAATAAGATAAAGTTTTTTGTTTTGCTGTTGTTGACTTTCGTCACCAGGTTTTTTGTCTCAGTATTGGAATACTTGTGTGTGTTCCAATGGCTTTCCTTCTACTAGAACTTCTCATTTTTTTCTCCTAAATTCCTGCTAGTGCCATAGTGAACTGGAGTATTGTGGATTTCTTTTGTCATTCTCATTAGCTAGATAGAAACAATCATCAGAGATTCAAAACATAATAATTTTGTGACATAGGAAGAAAGCATGTGCACATCAACAGAGATGTGCCTCAGGCTGTGTGGAAATGAAGGCTCTGATGTGCCCTAAAATATGCTTGGAGAAGGAAATGCCAATGTATTATCCCTTCCTAAGTGCTAAATATTTACCTTCAATTAAATACCACCACTCGGCCAGCTGGGTTGAGCACTATGAACACAGGAGACTGAAGTTCATCAAAATTCCAGAACAAAGAGTGAATTTATTGCATTTGCTTTGAGTTGTTTTTTTTTTTTTTGGAGCTCACACTAAATCACATTTGCAAATGAGCATAGCAGAGCAAGGGTAAAATAATGCTTTTTGAAATAAGCAATTGCCTCTTACACCACCTGGTGCTGTTACACTGACCAAAATGTCAGCTGAGACACTTAAGAGAAACCTCAAAACCATAAAAAAAGAAGTTTAAAAAAAGGTTTATGGGATGCACTTTCTGCCTATTACTGATACTTCACGCTGTAGTAAATTGCCAAATACTGCAGCAGTTTCTCAAGAACTGTCTCTTTTTACTGCCACTAGGCTGATCAATGTTTGCTGTCAACAATAGAACTTCACAGTCCCAAGGCAATTTCATCAATTTCTTCAGGATTTACCACAGAACTAGAACCTCTGAATGTGTATTTACAATAAAGATGTTTTCAATTTACAATCAGAACATTATTTGAAAACAAAAGTAATCAGTTATCATAGTTCAGGTGGGCTTAACCCTGTGTATTTCTACAGATCTGTTAAATTTGGCCTGTAGCCTTTAAAAAGTGTTATATTAACAAACCTACTGCACAGTTTGTGTTACTTTTTGTCTTGGCTACTACTGGTTTCCTTGCCAGTCAGTCCTCATCTCTACTTTCACTACCACCACTGTATTTCATTGATGCAAATGTTTTCTGGCTCCTTGTAGGTTTCATTTTAGGTGTTGTTTAAGGAGTCAGCCTTTTTTTCCAGAACTTCCACTTCGGGAGGAGTTCTGTACTGCAGAGATGTAATTCCTGTTTTCCCAATTCTCTTCCATAGTCTGCCATCTTCAACTTCCAGAGTCTGCTGACTGTGATCCTGCTGCTCATTTGTACCTGTGCCTACATCAGATCCTTGGCTCCCAGCTTACTGGACAAAAATAAATCCGGGTACGTGGCCTGATCATTTCAAACATCCACAAGCTGTGTGGGTTCTGCTGCAGCCTTTCAGCATCTCCTGATGAAGTCTGTGATAATGCAGATCCAGCTTTGAAAACTTTCTTTCTTTAAAGATAAAAATCTTGATTTTCTACCTCACAATAGAGTGCAATAGGATATTGGCAAGCACCTAGTTGCAGTTTTATTGAGAGAATTTATTAGCCCGCTAACCTTGCTAATAGTGCATTATTAATCTTGTAGATTTGCAGCTTCATTGGTAGATGCTTATTAGAGATACAGAAATGAGAGACAGAAATAAAACATTCTCCTACATGTGGCTGTTGTTGCAATGATGTATTTTTGATTCCTAGGGTGGGCAAGAAACCAGCAGATACCGGCTTTTTTCTTGTTTTCAAGATAGGTGTTTTGCAGACAGACTTTTGAAAAATAGCTTTAGCAATAATCTGTAACTAAAAGAAAACTAATTTTTTTTTTTAAATAAGCAACATGGTCCTCTTTTGTGGTCTTTTCAAATCACAGTTTTGTATTCTCTAAGATGAGGAAATTTCTAGAAGAGCTTTTGAAAATTTCTACAAATACAACTTTATTTTTTAACCATATGGATGCTAGCTGTGATCAGCAGAACTGTGATTTAAGTGTGGTGGGTTTTGAGTAACCATTGGGCAGTTGTGCCACAGAAATCTCAGGGGCTGTTCACAGACCTTCAGTATTGCTGTCACCTCAGGTTAGTGCAAAGGAGGTGATATTTGTAGAAGCAGGAGGTAATTCTAGGTGGAAAAACAGACTTTTGGACTCTGAGTGTTTGACTTCTCCGCTTTTGCCATTAGGTCATTTCCTGTTAAATAAAATTTTCTTCTTCCCTAAGTGTCTTCCATCACTTTGGCATTTAAATGCAGAAGTGTCCAGTTTTTAATAGTTGTGGCCAAGAACCCCAAGTGTTTATCTTCTGAAAACCTTTGTTGTAATTAACCTCTGGTTTTGCTGTTTTATTATCCAGTTGTTTTTTTTTTTAATTTAGCAATGTAAGATACCCAAATTACAGCTTTTTTTTCTTAATTTGGAGTTCTAACATGAAAACACTTGTGTTCTTTTATATGAGGCCATGAAATTGTCACTGACATGAGAGGTTTCTTTGGATGGAAGTAAAGATGGAAGAAAGGATGACTTCATGAAGGACAGGGAGTGGGAGCATGAGGGGAGTTTGGGTGTCTGCTGGTGGAAGATAACACAATAGTCAATGAGGTATACACAGCAAGAAGTTAGAATGTTTATTTTACTGATTAAAATTTTAGTGCTGTTCTTGGCAAGGAGTATTTCCTTTAATCTGGAGCTACTCTGTTTATTCTTGAGGCAAATCTGTCTGGAGTACAATAGAACTCTCTTCATAAAGCATTTCCAAGGGGTGCTGACACTGTGGAGGAGTTGGGCGTTTGATGTGTAGGTTTGTATTTATGTAGGTGTAGGACATACCATTTTGTTTTATGTATATATGTATTTGTAGACTACTTTGTACTGGAGAATAAAACCTTGGCCTGGAAGCAATGAAAGTTGTTTCCTGTATGGTAGATGTTTACATTGAGCTCATATGGTGCTAAACCCCTTTCCCTCTCTTCTAATGTGCTCCATGCTCCAGTGGAAATGTCTGGACATGTGGGATAAAAAAAAAAAAAATTAAAAACAAAATAAAACAAATTCTAGTGGTACTTCAGTATACCATAGAGATGTTTTTACCTCATCATTCCTGCTCCAAATTTAAGGCATAAAAAAGTAGCAATAAAATAACTAAAGTGATGGAGAAGGAGGGGGAATGTTGGTAATTATTCAGTGTATTTCTAAGTCAGTGGTAACTTTGCTGAGGATTTAGGTCTGTGGATAATAAGTGAAGAAACATTTCTTTTGGTGAGAGGTGCTGTTGCATAGTGATGTCACCCATCCTCACAACCCTCTGTTTCCTCCCTCTCATTTCTGCCAAAGCGTGTGCTTTCCTACCAAGCCAAACAGAACCTTAAACCTTCATTTTCCCTAAGTGTTTCCATGTGCTCGGTCCTGAGCAGCAGAGTTAAAGGCTGGGAAAGCAAGTGGAGATTTACTGTTTCATGCTTACCAGAGGAGAATGTACACCACAACGTAATTCTCTCCTCCCTGCTAACCAGAAAGATGCGTTAGCTCATGTGCAGCAGAGATCCCCTTTGATTTTCCATCAGCATTGCAGTGGGGATGTCTCACACTCCCTCCTGCAGTGGCACTGGGCTTTTCCTGGTGAACACATGGCTTTTTTTGCAGCACACCCAGCCTTACCACTAAGGCTCCATCAACTCCTCCTCAGCTTAAGAGGTTCCATTTATTTGGGGTTTTTGTCTTCCAGGCAACCACCACCACTTTTCACAGTGAGTGCTTTTAGCATTTAGCACTGGGAGCCAGCAGTCTCTGCAGCAGGTCGTGCACTTTTGGGCTGTGGCTGCCAGAATGAGCAGGGATCCCAGCCAGACCCACATCTTCACCTGCATCCAACAAAGGATGGAGCAGAACACAAAGGGTGGAGAAGGAGTTGCTACAGGAGGAATTGTTTTGGAGCACTTATTCAAGGCAGCGTCACTTCTGTAGTAACCAAGCAGCTTTTGACTTGAAGAGGTTCTTCTTGTGGACATAGAATGAGCATTAATGGAAAAACCAGGGAAGGAGGAGGTTTGCACAGGCTTTTCCTGCAGTGGGAACTCTCCAGTTCTTCCAGAGGGTCCAGAATTCAGTCTGCTTCAGCTCAGCAGAAGGTTGTGTGGGCCAACAGAGGCAATAAGCTGTTCCAGTAGCACAAAAAACTCTTAAAATGTTCTGGTGTTGTCATGGGAAGGCTGGACAGTCCTCATGTCAGTGGCTTCAGGTTCATAAATTGTAAATTGCAGTTGTTAAGGGCAGCTGGTGAAACCTATCCTCAGTTTTGTACCTGGCACATCAGGTAGGAAAATTCCTGTTTTCACCAAGGGGGCTTTGTAGGACAATGTGCAGTAGTGGCTTGAGATCTCAAGAAATCCCTGAGAAGATGAAGAAATACCCTTGCTGAGATGGTGAGGCAAATTCAACTCACTTCTTTGCTGCCTGAAAGGGTTAATACTCTTTTTCCCATGCAAGATTCTTCAAAAGTATATTAACAGAATGGTAGTGTTTTATTTCTTTGAGCTCCTGGGCAAGCTTTTGAGAGATGGCAATATGAGAAGCAGGGCTGTGGATGTTTTCCTGTTGGTTTTGCAGCATGATATCTGTAAATTGTAATTTTACAGAGAGTGAACAACAGTTTTGAGAACCTGAGGTGCTATCAATGGAGCACTTTAGGGCTGTGCATTTTGCTCTATAAGATTTCCACATGAATGCCTTTGTACCTGCACACATCTTCAAAAAGTGCATAGATGTCTTCAGGTTACTTTATTGTATGACCTCTTAACCCTGAAAAATGTGGTGGTTTGTATGCAGGGATCATTACTTCTGCTTGTGGAGCTACATAAAAGCAGGAAAAAAAGAGCTTTGGCTGTACAGAAATATAGTCAAGCCCAAATATGTATATGTGCATGTGTATATATATATTTTTTTGCTTGAGGTAAAACTAAAAGCACAGATGAAAATGCCTGTTTGCTAAAAATGGAAATGGAACACTGTTCATGATGAATTGGTCAACAAGGGGTACATAAGTAAAAAAGCATTTCACTTTTGAGTTTGAACACCTCAGGCACTTGCTGCCACCCTTGGTCTTCACCTGCCCAGCACTGAATCTTTGTCTTAAAAATGGGGGCGGCTGCTAAATGGACAGAGAGATGCTGAAGTTAAACCAAGACCATAAAAGAGGACATAAAATGGAAATAGCAGAGAAATAAAACATAATGGTGACTGCTCAAGCATGCAGGAGCAAGTGGCCCAAGCTTACCAGTCTGCATTTAAATGTGTTAGAAGTAAGCAACTCTCAGAGCCCAAAGAAGGGCAAAGACAAACAAACAAACAAACCTTTGTGGGTGTGAGTTCAGAACATTATTTGTGGGGCTGTATCTAGTACCTGCTTGATGGCAGATCTCCAAGTGCTTCCCCACAGTGTTGTGTGCCATGCTATGGAGGAAACCTTCCTGCAGATCTGTCTGCTTACACAGGACACCTCAGCATTGTTCCCCTTGTCTTCCTCAGATCCTAAAGCACTCCCCGCTCCTCTGGAGCTGCCAGCATGAGATAATTTTAGTTACACAGAGAAATTGTAGGTTTGTGACATCCCTTTGGGTGTTCCCTGCGTTGAATTCTGCTTTTTTCTATTGCTGTTTCACTTGTGAGAGGTAACGTCCTGGGCCAGCAGCACAGGAGAGACATGAGCGAGGTAAACATTGGTAAAGGAATAAGAAAGAACAAGAAGAAATGCAAAGATATTTTTCTTCACAAAATTTTCTGTCTGGGAGACTTTATTTTAAATAAATGTGGGGTTCTGATGAAATCTTTAGATCTGGGACACAGAATGAGTTCAATGCATCTTTTTGCATGCAGAAAAGACCCCTGCTAGACTTAAAATATTTCTGCTTCGGTAATACATACTCTGTACCCTTATGTGCTGGTATCTGCTGTTTTCTGGTCTTCAGAAGGGAATCAAGTTGACAAATTGCTGTCAATTCAGATTATTTTAACATAAAGAAAATCAGTTGACTTGGATGTATTAAACCAAGAGCCTAATGAATTTATTTTCTCTTTACAGACTGTTGGGGATATTCTGGAAATGCGCCAGGATTGGTAATTTTTTTTTTTTTTTTTTTTTTTTTTTTTTTTTTTTTCCTTTCAAAATCTTTAGGATAAGTCCTATACCTAGCATAATTTATTAGGATAAATTGCCATGTAGCAATGAAAACCATACACATCCTTTGTCTTCAAAAAGGCAGGTTTTAACCTCCATTAAACAAGGGGGCAGGATATTGCTTTCTTAGATTAGCATCATTGAAATCTTGTATCTTCTCATGTCAGTTCATGTATCTAGTGTTTTATTTTCAAAAGTCTTCTGCACGTCTTGCCACGTGAAACAGCCAAGGGTGTGTTTCTAACATGCAAAGAAATCAATGATTTCTTACAAACTGCAGTCTGTTTGAAATTGCAATGGACTGCTGAAAAAACCCAGATATTTACCTTGTAGTGATAAAACAACATGGAGTTCATAATGCATTAAGGTTCTGTTTAAGCATAAAATGTGTTTTTTTTCCTCTCTTTGCTCAGCTCCTGTGCACTTTTGAATTACACAAAGCTATTCGTGTCAAGTGACATCTGCACACAGGCTGATCAGTTCTATCTGATTCTTGACATTTTCCCATAACATTGGTTTTATATTTATTTTAATCCTTATCCTGAATTTATTTTGAGAAGGAAATTGGAATATGCAACAGAAGTTTAGTCTTAACATTAAGGTATATCCACATTTTAGAAAAAAAAAAAAAAAACAACTAACCCGTCGTCAGTGTTCAAATTGCATTGTTAATTCAGAGCAGAAACTCTGAACTTGTAATTCTAGATCTTCCTACTTGTCACTGAACCTAAAGAAAGCCTGTATGATTCCCTTTCTGCATTCCAGGCAGAACATTTTACAGGATGTCAAAAAAAGCACTGACACAAAAAATGGGGTTTTGGTGAAGATGGGTTGTTAAAATGATTGCAGATACTGTCCTATTTAGATAATAGACATAGCAGAACCAATTTTAGTGCTGTAATTGAAAGATACTGGGAAGGTGGCAGCTGTCAGAAATTACTTTTGAGCTATACTAGTGAAAACAAATGTAAAAATTCAGCTGCATTAGGGTTTGTTCAAGGATGAAAAGAGTGCTTCACCTTACCTTGCCATCTTCTTTGTAGTTAAATAAGTGCAAGGATTTTTTTTCAATTAGCTATATTTCTTTTGCAACTTGCATCTAGAGTGGATCACTTTGACTTTGTTTTAGCCTAAGAAGTGGAAGTGGGCTTTGGAGATGATTTCTACCATTTCATGTGTGTTAATCACAAAGGCAAGTAGAAAGTGTAGGTTTTAAAAATGAAAATGTCTACTGGCTTCCTTTACATTTCACATCCCTGGTATGTTTAAACAACCTTTTCACATGTACATAAGATCTTAATCACCGGCAAGTGGTTACATATTTACAAAGTTGTGCAAAATAATGTTTAATCCTGCCACATGGTGATTTCTCTTTTAAGAAAATTAAGAGCAGAAAAGCATAACCCATATGAAAATTGTAATACCCTGAACCGTAGGAGTTGGACTTCCTCAAAATTTATTTTAAACAGATGTGAAACTGCAGACATTAATTCGTTCAGTTATTTGAAGTTTAATTAAATTTATGCCAGATCATGACAGAATCTTGTAATGTCACCGGGCAGTCAATCCTGTGTATGGGAGATGTCACTGCAAGTATTTTATTTTTCTTTTACTGTGGAAAGTTTGTTCCCTCTGTGTTTAAAGGTCCTGCTGGTAAAAGAAAAGACTTTTTTTCATAAAAATTGCGCCATGCTAGACTTGGGAGCCTTGGTTTTAATGTTTCTCTGAAAACTGTGTCTCTGATAAGGTGGTTTTTAAAGACAAAGGACCTCACACAGCAAAGGGAAATTTAACTTTGCTTAAAGCAAACAGCCCAAGCTCTGTCTTTATACTCTTGGGTGTGTAAAAACAGGGATATTCTCACTTGAAAGATACGTTTCAGTATTAACACACCCTGGCAGTTCTGTAGGCTGCAGGTCTCTCCAAGGAGAACTCAGAGGAACCATGGAGAATAAAGTTTTAAGTGTAGAAACATCTTGCTAATTAGTGGAGAAAGGGCTCATGTAATTAGGTACCAGTGTGATTAACATTACTGATGTTCTCCTGGTTGTGCTACGGTTCCCCACCTGAGAATTGTTTTTTTCTTGGTGATAAACAGACCTCTGTAACATTCTGCCCTGGACCAAATGGGTGGGAACAGATCTCTCACTATTGCTTTTGCCACCAGATAAAAGTCTGTTAATGGAGTAAACTTCACTTCCTTCCACAGTTTGCCTTGGGAAACTGTGATACCAATTTGAAAGATTCTGAAAATAGAGGTGTCTGTGCAGCTTCTGTGATCTCCTGACCATTTTTGGGACCAGACCCTCTCCACATGCTAACAATCTTAGGTCTTCTTAGCAAAGCAAAACAAAAAAAAAAAGCATCTGGCTCTGTCTGGACAGCTGTGAGCTCACAGCTCTGGCTGCTGCATGGCACCCTGCACAGAAAATTCACACTGCAGGTGGTGGGTACCAAGACCAGACAGCACCAGCTGCACCTCAGCTGACACAGAACTGCTCCTGAGCAGCCACAGAGGGGCAGAGCAATCAGAAATGGGGTGTCCTGGGCAACTTTCCACTGCCTGCCTGCTGACTTTGGCACTGGGAGGTACCAGCACATAAAAACTGCACCTCAGAAAAGGTGATTTGTAGTGAGATGGAAGCCCTTACTTGGACCTGACCCTGAATCACCCAGTGCCACCCCTGCCATGGCAAGGACACCTCCCACTGTCCCGGCTGCTCCAAGCCCTGTCCAGCCTGGCCTTGGGCACTGCCAGGGATCCAGGGGCAGCCCCAGCTGTGCCAGGGCTGCCCACCCTGCCAGGGAACAATTCCCCCTTGCCAATCTCCCACCCAGCCCTGCCCTGGGGCACTGGGAGCCATTCCCTGACTCCTGTCCCTCCATGCCATGTTTACAAGTCCCTCTCTTAAAACAAACAGCCTCAACTCTGTTTTTACGTAGCAAAATAATCTGTCCTACTTCTGAGTTTCTCCACTGCCCGTGCATGTTCTTTGTGAATGCACAGTTGTACTTCTGCATGCCTTTCTCCAGCTAGAAATGTTGAATATCAGTGTGCACATGCTGTGGCAGAACCACCCTAGGCTAGGGAGCAGGTGGGTCTGTTTAGCCATGCCTGAATTTTTGTTTGTTCTGGGTTCTCTCCCTTCTTGCCAGGTGAGCGGAAGAGCCCCTACGTGGCCGTGTGCTGTGTGGTGATGGCCTTCAGCATCCTGTTCATGCAGTAGCAGCTGGAGAGTCTCCCCGAGTACCCAGCAGCAGATCTTGGGTCAAGAAAGGATGGGAAGCCTCAGCAAGTCTCCTCTCACACGATGGATAACCTGTCTCCTGGTGAACACCCTGCAGATGGACCAGCATTAGTGATCATAGCCCAGATGAGATGTGCTTGTTAATGCCAGGGCAGCACTGACACTCCTGCTGTAACTCATGGAAGGGTGTCTGGTGCGTCTCTGAGTTTCAGGGGAGCTCTTCTCTTTTTTTGTTTATTTTTAAACACCATGCAGTTGGAAAGGCTTGCTGTTTTAATTCTATAAAATTTCTTGTCCTGTAGATCTGTTGAATGAAACGTTAAAATCGTAAATCAGCCACAGCAATAAGACCACCCTTTGAGGAATAAAGAGCATTTTGACTCTAGGGGATGTTTATCAAAGTATTTTTAGTTCCTCTTGATTTGTAAGTGATGGCTCCACTCTCATCCTAAAAATATGACCTCTGACCTAAGTTATGCTCAGCTATTTGTTTCTAAACATGTAATTTCTCAAATAATCTCTCAATATTTCTGTTGTTAAGATAAGATGTGAAATAAAGGCAGGGACCATAATTGTAGTGATGTGTGATTAGCTGCTGAGAAGGCAGAGATGGGGGATCTGGGACACCTGGATTGCTCTCTGTAAAATACCACGTGTACTCATTTTTAGAAGTTCCAAAATGCTGAGAAAAGGATTCAAAAGGCTCTGCTGCTGTTGCATGCATGGAGAGATTTCTGAATTAGCAGAATGAACAGCTGCAGATAAGAAAGTTGCATGTCATAATACAAACATTAAAGCAACTCAATTACGCTCACCAGTAGTAAAGATTAGATTACTTTTAATGATACCCCCCATTAGCACTTATTTCTTAATTTTGCACACTTAGTGATCTAGTGACTTCTTCAATAATGCCTGACAGGTGTGTGTTATATCAGACACCTTGTGACTTCATACTGGCTGCATGTGGGAGAGTTGTCTGTTTGCAGTGTTTGTTGTTCTAGAAAGGCTTCTGATCAGAAGGAGCAAAGCTAAAAAGTAAAACACACTTAAAGGTATGTTAAAAGTTGTCATTCTTGTTTGAAAAACTTATTTTCATCAATCCAAATTATCCTGCAACTAGGAAAAAGGTGATTTTGAGTTATGACCTTTGTGTTGTTTCACATCTACCTGCAAATCTAAATCACCATCAGAAACAGCCATCCAAACTTTTCTATTCTCCATCCAAACTTTTCTGTTCTGGGCTCAGGGAAAAAATACTTCTCCAATTTGGGCCAAATGAATACCCCTGACTGTGAACCAGAGCAGTGCAGAGCTGTAGGACTGTAGCCATGCCATGCACACACAAAAGTCTGGGACTGGGCAGGAGATGAGGGGAGCACAAAATCTGCTCTGGAACTTTAAATACGGATGCTGCTCCAAACAGGGCATCAAAGCAACTCAGTTTGGATTTCAAATGAGCTGTTCCTCAACAGGGGGAAAGGAGATTCCTAAAAAGCCTTGGGTTTTGACTGTTAGGTGTATACACGTTCAAAATATCCAGAGAATCATCTGGTAACTTTTTATGTTGAGCACTTATATTCTAGTTATTACTTCTTTTAATAAATAATGGCATTTTAATGATATTCATACATTTCCTAGTAATCCAAGATGTTCTAATTACCAGATGAATTATTTATAAACCATGGGGTTTAGCTGCAAGTAGGAATACCAGTGAAAGAACTCAGTGATGTGTGTCTGAAATCTGCTAACATGGAGGAACTGTGTTGCAAAAACCTTCTCTGTTAAGGTTTCATCATCTAAGCAACTCAGACAAGCCTCTTCATATTTGTTATTTATTGTTCAAACTTCGTTATCTGTCAGCTCATCCTTTTGGCCTAAATGCAGGGGATGGATACTTAGGAATTTTTTTTTTATTATTTTCCCCTAAATGACATTTTCATGCTGTTCACTAGGAGCTGGCTGCATGGCTGCTCAACAAAACTGTCTGGAAACAAGATCTTTAAACTGGCAAACTGCAATTGTTCTGAAATTGCTGCTTCAGGCATGTGTGTGCCTCAGGACTAGGTCTTTGGTTTTCAGGATTTTAGCTTTGATGAGATTGATGCCTCACGTCTTTTAGTAAGATACAGAGTAAATACCGGTTTCCCAGGTTAGAATCTTAAAACCATTTTGCTGTCTTGACTTTCTTTTTGTCAAGCAGAAGAGTTTGCACCCACAGCAGATCTGTACACCTTTCCCTGTGCAAAAGGAACAGTGATTAAATGTGACTGAAGCTGTAGTTGTGCCTGCTACTGTGGAAAAGTATTTCCACATTGGGACTTGCATCTTTTTTTCCTAAACAGCATCATGGATGTTGTTGATGCCCAAACATCTGAAACACAACATGTTGTTCTTGTAACACAGAGAGTATTTTATACCCTTGCATGTACTTGGTATGGATTTAATATTACATTAATTTTTCATCCACATCTGCATTTATAAAGGACCTCAAATTCAAAGCAGGGATTTAGGAAGGCTGAATTGAGCAGCAGCATTGCCATGGTGGGAAGTGAGTAAAGCATGAGTAAGAGATGGGATCACAGCAAAGGTCTGATGTTCTAGAGGGACTGATAAGCAGCTGGGCAGACGTGGCTGGAGGAGGAAAGACAAAGTGGAGTCCAAGGATGACAGGAAGATTTCCTGTTCTTGGAACAATGTCCCTGTTCTGTGAATGCCCTTTGTACCTCAGTAACCAGAGCAGTGAGCAGTGGAAATACAGTGTCACCAAGAGGTGAAGCTGCACTGTGATGGAGGGAATAAATGCTCTTAGTGCTCTGAGGCTTTTATTATTTCAGTTTGTCTCCTCTTCTGTCCCACTGGCATCTGGGGCAGAGCCCACTCCCTAATGCCTAGGAAGGCTCATCATGATTGATTCCTTTCCCCTTTCTCCCTCTGATATCCATCTTCTAGAGAAAAGGAAACAAAACCAGCATCTTCCTAATGATTTAAAATGCTGAACTTGGTGAAACCCACCAGAAGCCAGGAAAGTGTGATGGAAACCCGCTTCTCATACTCAGGCAGCAACTTTATATTTGCATTTTATCTACATTTGCACTATCTATATCTAGTGCAAACATTCCCAGCTAAGGAAAGTTGTCCAGCCAGGTCTCTTTTCCCTCTCTTTTTTGTTTTACCTGAGCATTGTTACTCGTTCCAGATACGTTTGGGGAGTGCTCCCAGCACCCATCACAAGGCTTCACCTGTATTTGATGGCACTGGCTGCCTAGAGAAGCAGTTTTCCCTTAGCTCCTGTACTGCAGTGCAATCAGCATGCTGGGCATGGGAGATTCACACTGAAAAACAGGTTTTGAGCATGAGGCCTGAATTGTTTACCTGGCTGTTTTGTAAATAGCACCTCTTTTCGTGACACCTCTAGCCATAGTGCAAAAGGTGTGGAGGAATAGTCATTCTGCAGGATCTAATGGCTGGGGAAAATCCTCCCTGTGACCAGTGTCACACAGCTAACCTGTATTTATTGTTAAATTATTTTACTCCATTTCAAACTTGAAGGGCTCTTGTGGCCAAAGGCACACCCGTGTTTCTCAGTCAGTATCTGGGAGGACATCATCCATCTCCAGAGGCTTTGCCTAAATTCATTGAGATGTTCCCTGTCTGATGTAGCACAGGTGCTCAAGCATGACCTGTCTCCTCACAGGGAACCCTTCCCTTTGGCTGTGCAAGCTTCAGACACCTCACAAATAAAATCACCTTTGGCACTGCAGTTGACTTATCTCTCCCTGCTTCACCAGTAGCATCTGGCAGATTGTCCAGGACTTCTTTAATCTGAATGAAAAAGATCCTAAGTGTGTGTTACTAACCCTTGTAATCCCCACTGGTGTCAGAGGGAGATGCCAGCATTTCCTGAAGGACCTGGGTATAAACACTTCCAGGGAAAGTGCTGCTGCCAGCTCCTGGGACATCAGTGAGGCAAATAATTATCAAATTAAGAAGTGAGGAAGTTCCTTTCTGGTCTGTCACATTCAGAACTTTCTATGAGAGCATCTCACCATCATTTATATTGTTTGAAAGGGCTCTTTGGAGGCTGTAACATGGGAAAAGAGGTTTTCCCTCCAGCCCAGCTCTCCGTGAGGGGGAAGCAGGTAGTGCCATCCCCAGCTGCCACAGCATTCCAGTAAATGGCCGTGTTTGTGCACACTGGTTCAGCTGAGGAGCAACCCTCCAGTTTATTCAGGCCAAATTAACCTCTATCATCTCTTTTTCAAAATAACAAAATCTAAACACACTGCACTGGGCTCACTGATACCCTCTGCATCACCCATTTACATATTCAGAAGAGTCTGTCACATCACTCACACCACATACCAACACTTACCTTTGACAAACTCAGTGGTTAAAATACTGTATTTTCCCCCAAAGGAAGACCAAGAAGTTTTTAAAGCGTAAAACTATATATGGCTTCATTTATTCCAGTGGGGGAAAAAAAAAAAAAAAAAGAGGGGACTTGTTTTAAAACACAAAAGACTTGTTTTAAAGAGAAGTCAAGTCAGGTCAAAATATAGAAATACCCTTGTCAATTCTAAAACCTCCACAGCTGGTCATTCCCACATGAAAAAACTTAAATAACCTTTTAGAGCTGTAGTAGGGCTAACAAAAACTCTGACCAAATGATAGATGTATTTAGACATTTGGATGTATAAATGTCACACCCAGTGGAATTAAGAGGAAATAAATAGTAATTTGACAGCATTGGCAAGCTGTGTTTTTGACTGTAGCACCACCAGCATATTTTACATGTGTATCACAGTCGTGAATAAGCCAGTCCAGACACACATTCACAGACCAGTTTTAGTTTCCTATTAAGCTACATGCTCATTTTCTTTCCCCCACCCTTTTCCAGCTAATAAAGAGCCAAGGGAACGCTCTGATCCTTGTCTCTTTGGAACAGATTACCTCCAAATTCTCACAATTGATTCACACAGCTTGGATCATTGAATTGGTAAAACTCCATGCAGTTGGAGACAAGGTAAAAAAAAAAAAAAAACCCTTCCCAGTGATAAGGCATTCTTGACATTTGAATTGTTTGTCATTTACTAAGGACATAAAACCCTGATACCAAAGATGGCACTTGAAATTATCATCATCACTGGAGACGTGCCTGGGGCTGGGGCTCCCTGCTCCAGAGGGGTTTTTGAGCACAAAGACTCAGCAAGTTCTCCCCCCACCTCTGCCCTGCACAGATCATGCTTCTGCCTGCCCAGGGACACATTCTGGCATCAGTCTGATCACTTAGTGATACCCCTCCTGCACAGACCGGAGGCATGGAAAAGATTTTCATCTCTGAATTCACCGTGGCTTCTGGAAGTAATAAAAACTGTTTCCTCCTCTTCTTCTGACGAGGAGGAGCAAATCTTTTGAAATCCAGCTGCTTTCAGGTCATAGCTTGGTTGGTTGGTTGGTTGGTTGGTTGGTTGGTTGGTTGGTTGGTTGGTTGGTTGGTTGGTTGGTTTGACCACTTTCAGACTGGTTTGGGCTGAAAGGGACCTTAAAACACATCGAGTGCCACAGGCAGGGACACCTCCCACTGTCCCAGCTGCTCCAGCCCCAGTGTCCAGCCTGGCCTTGGGCACTGCCAGGGATCCAGGGGCAGCCCCAGCTGTGCCAGGGCTGCCCACCCTGCCAGGGAACAATTCCCCATTGCCAATCTCCCACCCAGCCCTGCCCTGGGGCACTGGGAGCCATTCCCTGGCTCCTGTCCCTGCAGCCCTTGTCCATTGTCTCTCTCCATCTTTCCTGTGAGCTCCCTTCGTGCACTGGCAGTAACATATTGATTATACACCTCCCAGTCTCCTCAGGGAAAGCAGCAGGCTGACATCCTTATCCCACACAAATTCTCCCAGGGCAGTTTCACCCCTTACACTGGGTGAGGTGGTGAGGAAATTCCTGTTCCAGCACTGTGCCTGTGCCAGGCAGCAGCACAGGCATCACCTGCCAGGGCTGGAGAGGCTGGGTGGCCTGGCAGGGAGAATGATATCCACAGGGAGAGCAAAATCCACTCAGAACCAGCACAGACACCCAGAATCAAGCTCCAGAGCTTAGCAGCCATTATACCTGGGCTTTCCTTTTATCCCTCCAAATCCAGCTCCAGAAGCTGCATTAGAGCATCTGATCCTTGGAAGTGTCCGAGCAATTTCTATAGCAGTCCCTCCTGTGTTTAAACAGATTGCAGGTTTTCACTTCTCAAAAAGGAAGATCTATTCTAATTTACCTAAAAACTACAAAACAGAACTGTAAATATTTTATATATACTATTTACCAGTTGTTTTTGTTCATTTATAGTCAAACCATCTCTTTCAAACTTAACAAATACTAGGAAAAAATATACTTAGTCAAGATGTAATGGTAATTTCTGCTAAGTCTGTCATGTCCCCTTTTTAGGTTAGTTCTCAGTAAGTCTAATTTATGCACTCACCAATGGATATACAGAAACACTGAGCATTTCCAAGATAAAATTATTCAGCTTAAAAACACTCCTGGTTAGAGCATATCATACTGCTGATGGGGAAACTGGCAGAGAGACAATTAGAGACCTCATCAAAGCAAGGGGAGTTTTCAACAGATGGGTTTGCTGTTGAGCAATTCCACAGCCCCATTAGGAATCCTGAGGCATCTCTACTTGAAGCTTTTAGGAATCAGAGAAAAAACTGCACCAAGTTATGTGTGATCTTACTTCATTTTAGGAGGTTGCCCGAGTTCTTTTACAGAATCATGCGTTTCATCTGTATGAATTAATGCAGAATTCAACCAGACCATATCTTTTTCCAGGGAACCTGCTGTTGTTCCAGTCAGAGCATCCCCTCACCTGTGCCCTGGTGCCTGCAGGTATTTGTGCAGTTCAGCTGCTCATTACTGGAGCTGTGGATGTGTCCTAGATGAGGACACAGACCTTTGCTCATTCCACCATGTCACAACACCCAGCAGCTTTATGGGGAGCAGCACTCAGCACATGAAAAAGAGCTCAGGGCAGGGAAGGAAAACCTTACCCAGTTTGTGTTCTGAGAGAACCAAGACTATTGATGGACGATTAATTATCACTAAATAAGGTGAAGGATGTTCCCTAAATTGTATGTAGTGACAGAAAGAGTGTGACCTACTCAGACTTTAAATCAGACAAGTGATTTAAACTGTTATCCAGATCTCAGTCATGTAAACAACTGTAACTCCAACATCTCTAAGAAGATGTTTCATCAGTTTATCACAAATTATAACTGAAATTCTCAGGCTTGTATTCACAGCTATTCTGCTGTGCTGCTGACACAGATTTTGGCTATTTTCACCTTCCAAACTCTTATTTCTTTATTGTATGCCCACCTGGAACAAAGTCACTTTGGATTACTAAATTAGCTTCCCAGCACTTGTGTTTTTACTTCCAAAAACCTGTGTTCCAACAGACTGCTGTTTTATTCTCTTGAAAGCTCTATTCCTAGAAATAAGACCATTATCGAAACTTTCTATCTCAGAAAATACATTATTAGCCCCCATTTCAACATAAAATGTTCTTGTTATGGAGGGAAAATAAAGATTTCAATGTAAATGTAAAGAATAATGCCTCAAAATGTCTACAAAATTTACAATCCACTAATGTGTATGATGCTACCAGATGATACTCATAGGGAATGACAATAGATGTGTGTCCAACTGGATATTATCCCTGTTCCAAAAGTGCAGACTAATCTTAACTGTCCTTGTGATTTACAGCATCACTAATGGAAGCAGTTTAGCAACATTTTCTGGCAAGCAAGAGCATGTGCACCAGGGAGAGGGAGAAGTATCCTGCACTGGAGGGAGAGGATGTGTTCGCTGAAGGGGAGAGGGATCCTGTCAATGTAAAACACACAAACAGAATTAAAGCATTCTGGGCTTTCCTCTGTCTTTTTGTATGTCCACTGGTGAGTGCATCAATTAGACTTACTGGCACTGAGACCTAATCTGAAAAACTTTGATAATATCAAGACTCAAACGGGGCCAAAATAGTTTTTACTCATATCTTGGTTGTTAACTGATCCAAAATTGTCCCAACATCATTCATATGAGGCAAAGATGCCTCCAGAACCATTTAGCCCCATTTTTGCTATTTTGTGACAGCAGTGCTGTATTTTGTGAAGTAATCCTCCATTGTGCTTATGCTTGGAAACCTTTCTTCCCTCAGAAATTTCTTTGCACATACAATTCCTTTTTCCTTGGACACTCAATTATCACCCATTTGTTCCTGCAGGATAGTTCACATGACACTATTTCTGCTAGGTCTGACAGAAATAGCACCTCACCTGGAATTGTCACACCTGCCAGGTGATTTGCCCAGTATTTTCCTCCCTTCCTGAGCGGAAAAAAGCCAGTCAGCTGTTGAAAAGTACAAAGCAGAGAGATACTCAACCTGTTTGGTTCTATGGCTGAAGAAAGAATACTAGTTTTGTTTTCTCAAGGATTAGTTTTTCTTGACCATTGTTTCTTGTTCTTCTGGCTCTTGCTTGGTGGCTCCTTTCCACAAATAGCCTGGAGAAAGAGTCCAGGGAAATCAAATGGCATCACTGCAAGTGACAAAAGCAGTGAATCAACGTCTTCCCTTCCTCAGGCTGTTTACATTTCTAAAGGCTTGGGTGTCTGAAATGCTGGGATTAATTCAATCTAGCACCAGTCAGTTCTGCAGAAGTTAAGTACATCTGTTCTGTAATGGTAAAAAAAGTGAAGATACTAGAAACAGAAAAATATTTCTCCTTTCTACCACATCTGGTTGAAAAAGAGTGTTTTTCTAGGCAAACATGAAAGTGGAGATGAAAGAGGTGTTTTCCACTGAAAAAAACCCAAAAACACCAAAAAACCAAAAAAACCACCTGGTTGATTATGATTACAGAAGTGGGAGGGAATGAATCAAACCAGGAGAAGCTGCTGCCAACCTGCACAAATGTTATGGCTGATTGTCAAAATTCAATCATGCAGGAGAAGAAACACCAGGCTGTTTGTCTCTAATCAGAATCTGACAGGGCCACGCTCATCTGGCTGGAGTGAGCAGCTCCTCCTTCGCTTGGGGCAAAGAATCACAGAACCACGGAATCATCAGGGCTGGAAAAGACCTCCAGGGTCATCAAGGTCAAACATGAACACAGCACCACCAAGTCCAGCACTAAACCTTGTCCCCAAATGCCACCTTTGCACATCTTCCTTGCCCATGCACAGGACAAAAAACATCCCTGGTGCTGCACAGCAGCAGGATTGAGTTAAGTCAGCAAAACTTAAGAGGCACAACGATTTTCCCAGGAAAAATATTTGATTTCTGCTGCTCTCTGCTTTCTAACATCACTTAGAGAGAGGGAATGTGGCTTCCCCTGGTTCTCCAGCCCCAGGCTCTTTTCAGTGAGCAAACTGGCTGCCACATTGTGCATAACCAGGACAAAATTGTTAGATTTCCTCTCCTTACAGAAGCCACCTCGTCTTTGTTTGCCATTTGTCCTTTTGTTGCCAGAAGCTTTCATCACCTGCACAACGAAGGACATGCAAACGGAGGTGTAGCCTCACTGTTGGAATTTGTGGGTATTGATGATTCTGAAATTGCAGAAAGTCTCTGTCTGTCAGCCCCACTGCCAAAGCAGAAGCCATAATTGGTCTGTGCTGTTTCAAGGTTGTTTATTCTGTTTATCTCTAACATGTTCTGCTGCCCTGCCGCAGCTCTGTCCTGCAGGGCAGCGTGTGGGGCTCTGCCCTCAGTGGGATGGTACAAACATTAAATACCACAAACTCCCTGTGCTGGATTTACAATAACGTGCCAATATCTGTCACCTACGTTGGACAGTGTGTCCCCAGCCTGAACCAACAGAAAAATGCCAACACCACAGTGAAACATGGAGGGCATGAAGAAGGAGAAAAAGGACAAGGCACACCCAATTTCCTCCATCTTGTCCCCTTTGAACCCCTAATCTAGAATCCTAAAATTTTACTTTTGCACCCGTGCCACACTTAATTATTACTGATATCAAACACTCAGAGCTTGTAATTGATCCTGTAAGATTGAAAACTCTTTTCCATGGACAGAGATCACAGCCAGTGTCTCTGGGGGCTCTGTCCAGGGGGGTTCCTGACCCCTGCCAGGGTCCCAGGGCAGCCAGAGGGATGCCCTGGACTCCCACACCTCACCACTCTATTCCCATGGAAAGCTCAAAAGGCAAGTCCCCAGCTGTCCCTCGGGGAGAGACATGAATTGTCATTTTAGAGACGCCTCAATCCTCACATTTTTAAGTTAAAACATTCCTTGACATTTTCCAGGCCAGATTGGACAGTGGTGCTTGGAGCACCCTGGGACAGTGGAAGGTGTTGGTGACAATGGATGGTCTTCAAGGTCCTTTCCAACCAAAACTATTGGGATCTATGATTGATATCACATTTACTTGTAATAGGCATTTTTCTGGATGTCTGGGCATTAAGACAAACAATTTCAGCGATAAGAATTCATACAGATTTCCAAAGTACACAGTTCTTAAACCATTAGGTCTTCATTGGTTACAATTATACCCAAACTTTGGATTAAGTGTCTTTGCAGGCTGTGAACCACAAACCCCAATATCTTTGCCAAACTACCACGGACCTCAGCTAAAGCAGGACTCTGCCCTTCTTTAGGGTTTCTCACCCTGCCAAACTGGCATAAACCCTCCATAAATTTTGTATCTAGGAAATATTTTAAACCCGAAACATTTCCATCAGAATTGCTAATGCTGGATTCTACAGAGAAACATTCCCATCCCTGGGAGTGCCCAAGGCCAGGCTGGAGCAACCCAGGATAGGGGAAATGTTAATTTAGAAAATGCTAATTAGACCAGCTAGAAAATACAGATGAATATAAACTGCAAAGGATATAAAATCTTCTGCAGAAAAAGTTTGCATGGAAGGAGAGCAATTAATCCCACTGCCACTTAATAAAGACATGGAATTTGGGGAGCACAAGCCACACAAGGTGTCTCAAACCAAGGCAGGTGTTGATAAAACACTATGGTTAAGGTGACAAGAACTACATTTCTTCGTTTTTCTGTGGAAAAAGTTGCATGCTAAAGTGTATTTTGTTCTGAAGTATAATAACAGTTTGGGGAAAATAGAGCAATAATAAAAGTTTAAAAATACCTTCCTATAATAGAATTGTTAGTTTACTGGAATAACCTGAAAAATGCTGAGCATCTGAAGAGACAGACAAAGAGAGCTGGCAATTTTGGGTGGAGACTGGATAATCATGAGATTATCCATGTTTCATGGGGGGAAACAGAATTTTAGTGGAAAAGCCACTTGTGTTTCGGTGAGGTAGCAGTCAGGAAAAATAATCCCACTGAAATTAAACCTTAGTTTCACTTTGATTACCCAAGGCAGAGTATCTTGATGAGGAATGTGGTGAGGAACAAGGTCCCAAGTCCTCAGCAGAAGGAGAGGAACAGCAGGAAGGCACATCTGTGTTTTGTCTTGGTGCATAATGAAGCCTGAAAGAACTTCCAGAAAATTTATGAGGAACTCTCAGACACCTTTCACACATTTGAGAGTAATTTTTTATAAATGCTATTGCCCAAAGTCTGGGGACTGCAGGAAAATCAAAGTCAGACTTTTTGCCCCAGCTGCAAAATACAGACCTGTGCCTGGGGAAGGAAAACAACAGGAATGAAAGTGACAGGTAAAATTCCAGGTTTTCTTGGGACAGCAAATCCATACAGGAGCAAAAACAAAGCTGCTCTGATTTATGCTGCTGACATAAAAGACTCCTCACCTATGAGTGCCTAACAGCCCCTCTCCTCCCTGCAGCACTGGAGCTGGCAGGAAATTCCAGATATCCACGGAACTGAGCTCCTGAAATGAAAGCTGCCATTCAGAACCAGCCTGAGGAAGGCAGCAGCACTGAAATTTACCATCTCAGCCATACCTGCATTGTAAAAACTTTTTCAGTTTTACTGTGGTGGGACTTTGGCCACAGGACAGCCAAAGTTCAGCCCTGAGCTGCTGACATATTAAATCTAAACATACCAATAACTGTGGTGTGAAACCACAGTTTTGTTCCCATTTCAATTCTGTTGTGTCTAGCAGAGGCATTTCTGATGCAGGGAAAATAAGGAAGGATTGGGATCACACTGCACTTGAAGAAAAAAGAATATTCCAGAATACTTCATGCTTTTTTTCTTCCCTTTCCTTTTTTTTATTTTTTTTTTCTTAAGCCAGACTTCCCCTGATAAGATGCCTGTTGTAATGATTTATGGACATCCACACAGCAAGACTGGAAAAAAAAACCCCAAAAAACCAAAACCCTTGTGTAACAAACCTTCAGATAATCCCAAACTGTAGAATTTAAGATTGTTCTATTGCCAGCATTTTCATGGCCATTTTTATAGCAGTGGGTTGTTTTCTCAATTATTTTCCTACAGCAAATCCTATTCCAAACAATAGGCAGGGAAAGGCATTCTGGAGTGTAAATCACTATAGCAAGCTTCAGGATATGGAGCTTTAGAGTGAACCCACCACAGAACTGCTGGCTGGGGAAAAGTCTGAGGAGATGTTGTCATATGAGTTAAAGTGAAAAATTGTTTAAAGCCACCATTAGGACACATTACCAGAGGTTTAGATGTCCAAAAATATTTCTTTTTTTTTCCTTTTCTAAGCTTTACCTAAGGAATGTGAGTTCATGCCAGTGGTAATGTCAGATGACAAAGGTGTCAGTCTCACATAGCAGCAATGAAAGTCCATTTACAGTGCAGATGAACCTTTATTCACATGCTCAACTTCACTATTTAGTTAGTCCTAACCACCAGGAACATTATATGTACTTACTCTTTTTCACTCTTTTCCAGTTCATCAGCCCCCTTAAAACCACAAAAGATGGCTTTTGTTCTTTTTCCAGGCCCTCATT